CCTAAACCCTAAACCCTTGAAGTCTTGACGTGGTCCGAGGGTCCGCTATCCGCAGCTTCGGTCTGCCTGCCCACGGTGCAGGCCCATTTGGGTTTAGAGGTTCAGGGTTTAGGGTTTAGGGTTTAGGGTTTTGGGTTTAGGGTTTAGGGAAATTCAGGGGTATCTTATGTTGGGGGTCCTTATACTATGGATAAGGATTCTACTCTTTAGGGTATTATACCAGGGTCCCCTATTTTCTGAAACCCCCATTTAAAGCCCGGGAGTTTAGGGCCCTTGGGCAAGGGCTACCTGTAACCGAAAAGACCCAGCTTTTTCGGGTTCCTTAATGGTTTCTATACATAGTTCCTTTAATAAGGTAGGTATTTTGGGCCACAAGGTACTGTATATCCCCAACGCGACGCCTGAAAAGCTAAAAGGACATGCTTTGGCTAAAGATGGATGGATCAGTTCGGGTCTGGAATCTCGTCTGGGTCGGAGTGTAGTGATCCTTCTTATGATTTCTTGATATAAAAGACTTTTGAGGCCTTAAGAGTTCGAATAGGGTGTGGGGGGGTATGTTATACTAGAACTATAATAAGGAACCCCCCAAAACCCTCTTCTGTTAGTACGACCCCTACACCCTCAACCCTAAACCCTATGTTCTGTATGTACATGGTTGTGGTGTACGTGGCCGGCACTGATGTACACATGCGTACATATGATGTGAATCAGATGTGTGTTCACTATACTAAGTTATGCAAAAAATCACAACTCATGGTGTATGCATGTATGTCGGTATACCTGCAAGCATGTTTATATGTAACTGCATGCCATATATACATCTATATCACGTAAAGCCACATACATGTACATATGTGGGTATGTACGCATCCATGCGTTTATCTACGTACCCATGCCTTTATCTATTATGAGTGTAGTATGTACGCATGTGAGTGCGTATGCAAGTACCCCTGCATATGTGTTTGTGTGTACATAGGTGCGTATGTACGTATGCATTGTATGCATGTGCGTACATATGTACATATGTATTCAGTTACACGTGTTGTACGTTCGGAAGGTTTTGCATGTCATACTATGTCTGTTTGTCTGTGTCTGTCTGTCTGTCTGTATGTCTGTCTGTCTGCAAGTATGTATGCGTATGTCTGCCTATGTCTATGTATGCCGGTGCGAGACAGCAGTGCCAGCTTAGCAAATCACACTCAGGGCAAGGTCCCACTGCTCGCCCTTGGAGCTAAGACTTCAGAGAGGTGTGAATGAATGAATGAATGAATGTCTGTGTATGCATGCGTATGTATGTGTACGTGTGTGTATGGATGCGCATGTACGCTTATGTATGCATCTGTATGCGCATGTCTGCAAAGGTACACATATGCATGCGTATGTAGCAACGTATGCATGCATGGATGGATGTAATGTAACGTAATGTAATGTCATGTAACGTGATGGAATGCAATGCAATGGAATGGAATGCAAAGTAATGTAATGTAATGTAGTGTAATGGAATGTAAAGTATGTATGTATGTACTTGTATGTTTACATGTTCATGTGCATGTATGTATGTGTGTGTATCTCTACGAAAATTTTCTGTGCATTGAAGGCGATGTGTGGACTGTGAGACATGGAATGTATCGTATTGTAGTGAAATGCAAATGTAGAGTGAGGCACCGTAATATGCTGCAAAGTGGTGTGTTGTACTGTAATGTACTGTACTTTAGTGTAATGCATTGTATACACATGTGCACGCAAGCATACCTAAAGACACATGCCTGCACACACACACACACACATGGCCATGCACATATCACACATGTATACACATGTGTATATCCTTGCATGTCTTGGGCACACAAGCCCACTACCTGCAGCGGGATTCTTGTCTGGAGTATCTCTGCCGCCAACAGCATAAAAGCCGATAGTTTTTCAATTTGCGTAAGACCGAGCGCTTTCGTAGCGGTTCGGTGGTTGTGTTGGTGCTGCGCCGTCCAGCATTGATCATGCTCCACTGGACGAGTGGCTTTTCTGTTTAGAAGTCTTCGTCCCTGTCAAAGTCGTCGTTTGCTCGCAGAAGTTTCTTCTTGGACTTCGACTTTCGACTACATGAAGGCCTTACAGTAGAGCCCTAAACTTTGGCCCTAAACATCACACCCTGAGCCCTAAACGCTAAACCCTATTCTGACCACTGCAGCCCTAAACTCTGAACCCTTTACTGCCGTGTTTTGTCATGGGAGGCTCTGACTCCCAGCCCCGAATCGTGGAGAGTCGCGGCGTACAGACATGATGCTTGTCTGCAGCTCGCGGTGAGGGTTTAGGGTTTAGGGGTTTAGGGGTTTAGGGTTAGGCCTATGGGTCCATGCTTCACCTTAAGACCGGAACTCTAAACCCCAGTGCCAGGGTCTGGGTTTAGAATTTGTCATTCGGGGTCAAAAGTTGGCCAAGCTGATTTGCAAGATGACCCTGTGAGGTCCAGTCTGCAGTTAGGCTGGTCGTATAATATAGTGCAGTAAAATGAAGTAGAGCAAGGAGTAGTACAGTTAGTACAGCATGATACAAAGAGTTTGTCATAGTGTCATCAACTAGACGATAGCTCGATGCAGTATCGCATCGCAGTGCACGAAAATACAGCAAACGACTGAGCACGTGCAGCTTAGCTCCGCAAAGGTCAGCATGACAATCTATAGTGACTGAGTAGAAGAGAACGTCATGCGAAAAGGTATCAACAAATGCCAGCAACGTGTTGCCGTGAGCAACGGTGTAGCGCGTCCAAGAGCTACCACCAGAGGTTAGCGATGGTGGGTCCGATGTCGTACAAAGACATAGAATATCGTCATGCAACACAGACTGCTTCAGACTGCGAAGCAATCTATGCATGCAACAGAAAGCACATATCTACGGTGCAATGTGAGAAACTGCCACATGCTGCTGTTCTACAACATTTTTCATTGAACAGGAAACTGCGGCAATGCAATGGGGTATGGTACCACATGACAGGGTTACAGCATTGAGCAATGTGTTACAGCACAGGCATGTGTAGTAAGAGCCATTTCAGCACAATGCAACAAGTGACACTACAATTCTGGTATAGTTCGACATAGCAGTAGAAAGCAAGTTTTTTGTGTACAGTACCAAGGCGTACAAGACTGCAGGGCACAATATCAACGGTTGCATTACATATCGCACTGGCACATATGTCAGAAGGGCAGACAATTTGCCCGTTCCCGCTGGCGATGACGATGACGACGATGCTGTTGATGATGGCCCTAAAGCCTAAACCCAAACACAAAACCCTTGGCGATGTGGTTCCTTGAGAATCATGAGGGCTAGTCTGAAGCCTAGGCTGCTGAGTCCGAAGTATTCCAAGCCCGAAGTGTCAAGGCCTGCACTGGCCCTTGAGGTTCCGAACATGTTGGAGAGGCCTGACCTCAAGCCGTGTGATCTCGCATTCATGCCGGGGCTCGCCCACATATGATGCGTAGAGCCATCCTCAACCTCCCAAGCTTCACCACCTCACCTTCAAAGACTCGCTGGATCCCTAAACCCTAAACCCTAAACCCTAAACCCTGAACATGAGATCCAGAAGCATCGACCTGGGACGGAGTCGAAGCTTCGAATCATCTCCGCTCCATTCGGTCCTGAACAGTAAGCCGGCTTAGTGTTGAAGCCGTAATCCCGGCCCTTCAAGGCAACACCCCAAAACCCTAAACCCGAGATCTGAAATGCTTGCCTTAACCCCAAATGCTGAACCCTAAATCCTACACCCCAAACCGTGAACCCCGAACCCTAAACCCTTAACCCCAAATGCTGACCCTAAGCCCTAAACCCGAAGCCGGAAACCTTACTCTTGAACACTGAACCCCGGAGCCACAGTCGTGCCGTTATTTGTAGAACCCTTGTAGTAAGCTGTTCAGAGAACCCTTTATCTTATGAGCCCGGAGTAGATCCTCTGACATGAGAATCAGCCCGAAAACCTAAACCCTAAACCCTAAACCCTAAATCCTAAACCCTGAACCCCCTCCGACATGGGAATCAGGTTCTGAGCTCTTGAGGCCATGGCTTCAGCTTGGAGAGAAGGGGAGACTCCTGGCATCAAGACGTGGGGGGTTTCAGGTTTTTGGCTTCGGGGGCAGGGTTAAGCGGGTTTATGGAGGCTTCGATCTATGGGTTTAGGGTTTAGGGTTTAGGGTTAACCCCAAAACCTAAACCCTGAACCCTAAACCCTCGACTTGCCGGTGTCTCAAGAGCCGGAGTCCCTTTTCCCGCACATAGTTTGGCCACACGCGCCTCTTGCCCAAGCGACATGCACAGCCAAAACCCATAGGAGCTATGCATTGTATAGAAAATAAAGAAACAGAGTATTTAATATTATCATATATTGCATGCTTTTACATTGTATTGTAGCCAAAAACCAACCGTTCTAGCACCGCTTATAGTAATCGCTTTGGTATCGCTTGTTTCACCAGTCTTGCCCATGTAGCGGTCGAGCGAACAGCAGCCCAAAGCCATCTTCGTCATTTGCAGGATATCCCAGTGATCATACTGTAATATACTCTAGTATACAATAGTATGTTCTAGTATTTTATATCATTGTAGAATATATAGTGATTATAGTCGAAGACGGTTTATAATCACTTTGCCGGGTACCTTTCTTATCGGCCACCAATCGAGGTTGCAGGTCTCAGTCTTTCGTGCTCCCAAGTGGCATGTGTGTGTGTGTGTGTTGTGCTCAAGACTGGCGGAGCTGTCAGCCCGATTGCCGGAGTGTGAGTCAATGTTTTTGGGTTTGGGGTTTAGTTTGTAGACCTTCAAAATGTTGCCCGAGCAGACGGTCGAAGCGCTTCGGTACATCAGGGCTTCCGACGCAGCACTAACCCGAAGCAAGAATTGGATCACACTCCGTTCTTGTCGAGCCCCGAGCGGCCCTTGAAGGAAACAAGATCCCTCCGGACTTCACTTCCACGGATGAGGAGGTGGCACCATCGCAGGCTTGGGGCATCCAGCTATCTACGAACAGTAAGGATTCCAAGAGTCTTCATCATGGCAGTGATGGCAAACCGAGTCGCGCGAGTTTTAATCATAGGGTGCTTGACCATGGCAGCCATGACAACGATGATGATCGTGATTACGACTGTCAATGTGCTCGCGCTGTTGATGATGGCAGTGATGAAGGTGCTGATTAACACGGTTTGGGTAGTAGTTCGTCGTCGTCGTAGTAGTAGCAGTAGAAGTAGAAGTAGAAGTAGAAGTAGAAGTAGAATTAGAAGTAGAAGTAGAAGTAGAAGTAGAAGTAGAAGTAGAAGTAGTAGTAGTAGTAGTAGTAGTAGTAGTAGTAGTAGTAGTAGTGGTAGTGGTAGGAGTAGGAGTAGGAGTAGGAGTAGGAGGAGTAGTAGCAGTAGTAGTAGCAGTAGTAGTAGTAGTAGTAGTAGTAGTAGTAGTACAGGCCTATCGGCCTCCAGGACCAGCTCGGCAAGCTCAGGTTCAAGGCGCTGGTGGCACCGTACCAGGAGCTCATATATAGTCTCACAACACAATACCCGCAATACGGCTACACACCGAGCAGGTCGCACAGGGACGCTCTACGCCGTGTCTTCGACCATTGCGCCCAGGTCAGATCCAGATGCCGAGCCCACCACAGCTCCTTACATGACAAATTTGCGGGCACGGCCAAGACCATGGCAGGGGGCTTACAGATCACGCTCGACTTAGCTGGTGCAGGAGATGCCATGCCCAGGCACAGACTCCTGGAAGGAATGCATAGAATGCAGCTGCCAGAACCCTTCATACAGATCGTGCTCTGCTGGCATCACAATGCCCACTACCACATGAATCATGACGGCACAGACAGGGTCATTCATGCCACCCAAGGGGTCCGACAGGGTTGCGCAGTAGCGCCCCTGCTATGGCTTATTTTCTCTCACCTGATCAGCGACACGCTTGCCACCAAGATCGGGTACCAAGCCACAGTCGACCTACTTAACATCTTTGCGGATGACTACCAATGCTCGGGAGAGTTCCAGACACAGCACGAACTCGAGACCATGCTCGGAAGAGTCGCTGCGCTCCTTCATACACTTGAAGAAATGGGAATGCTGGTCAGCCCCTCCAAAAGCAAAGCCATCTTGAGATGTACCGGTCCCGGCTCGGAACAGCTGCGTAGAAAGTTTACGCACAAAACAAGCACGGGCAGAATCCTACGCATCAGGAGCGCCAGTCACTGCTACGATATCCCGCTAGTTGACTCCTTCATGTACCTGGGTGCCATAGTCAGCTATGATCACTTCGAGGACAGGACCCTGGCGCACAGGCTCGAGGTCGGATCTAACAACTTTGGCAGACTAACCAGGATACTCAGAGGAAGACACGCTCTGACAAGACATCACAAACTACGCATATGGCAGGCCTGCGTATATACTGCCACGACCTACAGCCTTGATGCGAGCGGGCTTACCCCAATGGGAATGCAACGCCTTACGGCACAGCTCATCCGGCAGATCCGTCTTGTGGTCAGAGACCCCGTGTACATGACAGGAACATCGCACCACCATGTCCTTGAGAAGTGGAAACTGCTGCATCCGATTGAAGCACTGAAGCGACAGCTGCATAAAGAGACCTCCGACCTCAGCATGTCTCCAGATGCTTTCAGACACGGGCCGGAAAGCAACGCATGGCAGAGGGTCATGGCATCACTTAGTGTGACGCACACCCCTACACTCCTTGAGCTCACAGACCACACCAGTACCGGAACCCCCTGCCCGGAATGTGGAGTCTATTTCGCTACGAGGTCGTCGCTGCTAGCACATATGGCCAAACAGCACAAACACCACGAAGCCCGACCGGTCAACCGAACGCAGCGCAGGTTTGACAAGCACCAGGACGCCTTGGGGGTCTCCCACAATGCAAGCACTGCAGCGTCAAGCTGTATGATTTTTCAAGTTTGCGCAAACACATTGAAGAGCACCGGTGCAGGGTGCTGTTTCCGGTTCAGCCCCTACCAAGCCAACACACACCAACACCACAATCTCAGCTGCCAGACACACCATGCAACGCTGCACCTTCCCCCCCTGACACTAATCACCCTGCCCAGCCGCCACAAGCAAGAGTTGCACAAGACAGCCAACCAACGCCTGTGCCCCCTCGACCTGAGGACCTCGCTAAGCCAGACTCTAAGTCCCCACCCGACGTGCCTCTACCATACCCAGGTCAAGCCATGGCGGACACACACGACGAAGACCTACCGTACTTCAAACGACTCAGGGTGCGGAGCTTACTCGAGCAACACTCGGAGAACGCGGCCTTTCACTGCAGGACCGGCAGTGGCTTCGACACTACTGCGCCCTATGCTCCCAGTGGATTGCCTGCTCAAGCAAGGTCAAGCAGCACTACAGGCTGTCTCATCAGACTGATCACGACGAGTTTATGATCCCG